AATTCTGGACATAATGTACCTTGAGTAAACATAGAGAATGTAACAATTGGTAAAACAGAAGTCCACACATCTTTTAATTAAAAGTGTAAACAGTTTTCAAAGTATTACTATTCTGCATCGTCTATCATCATTTAAGCAGGAGGTACTATGACATAGTGATTTTAAAAATTCAATTAATCAGGCTTCTTGGGTTTAATTCTTCACTTCCAGGTTTGTGCTTTGCACAGATTGTGCTCTATCTAAATTCAGGATCAATTTCTTTTCCATTACATGGAACTAAAATACTTCTTAGTTTGTTTAAAGATGAAACAAAAGTCATTCAACAACCTTGTGAGACATTGAGAGTTCCTGGCCTATACTAAGATTCAAGGAAAAGTAAAAAAAAATGGTGATTCTATATTATTTGCTTTAAATAAAATTAGTGTTGATGATTTATTAAGGACCTTCCATTCCAAAATGCACATTTGCCTTTTGAGTAACTTTCCAGTGTATGACAGGTTTCTCAAATTACTGGTTTTCTGTTTGAATCACTCTGTCTGTCCTGACAGTTTTTCTCTTCCCCTTCCTGGTAAACGTACCACTTCTACCTTCTTGGTTCCCTGGTTTTCTTCTCTGTTGCTGTAACAAAACATTGACCAAAAGCAACCTGGGGAAGGAAGAGTTTATTTGGCTTACCAGGTTATAATCCATTACGGAGGGAAGCCAATGTAGGAACTCAAGACCAGAACCTGGAGACAGAAGTTAAAGCAGAGACCATGGAGGAACACGGTTTATTGGGCTCCTTCCCTTGGCTTGCTCAGCTATGTTTCTTATCTAGCCCAGGCCCACCTGTTCAGGGATGGCACCACCCACAATGGGATGGCTCTTCCTGGGTCTTCCTCGATCAATCATCAGTTAAGAAGATGCACTACAGACCATGACCACAGGCCCATCTGATAGACAAAATTCTTTAGTTGAGGTTCCCTCTTCTAGGTTTGTCAAGTTGAGAGATGTAATTAGCCATCATACTCATCTAAACCAAAAACATCCATTTCTTAACCTTCCTCGTCTGAAAGTTCCTCTGTAACAGAAAAGAAAAAAAAATACCTAGCAATCTTTTTTCCTTTTAGCAACACCATCAAAAAGAATTAAGCCACCACTGCAGTTGATAAATTCTTCAGAAAAAGCTGTTGTTTCTAAAACATCAGAAAATGGAATGGGTAATGCTATGTCACTTAAACCCAGACCATTTGAAGGAAGAAAGAGAGTAAAGACAAACAAAGTAAGTATATTTTGAAAGTGTTTTAAGGATAAGTTTTAATAAGTTATTTTAGAAATATATTGAGTTACCTTCTTTTGCAAATATCCCAATTTGTTTAGAAAGTTACATATGTTTTTCTGGACATCAATTATTATCCTTGAAAGCAGCGTCCTTATGAGACCTAACTCATTTACTGTGCTTACAATAAAACATCCGAGATGCCTTTTCACTGTACCTCTAATTTACACATTTGGCAAGAGAAGTAGACGTCTCATTATTCTTAGTTCAACATACAAATGTATGTCTGTTCTGAGAAAGACTGGTACAAATATATGAGATCAAAGTAGGTTTTTTTTTAACAGGGTCTCACTGTGTAGCCCTGGCTGGCCTGGACCTCTCTCACTGTGTAGACCAGGATCTCTTAACTCAAAGAGATTTACCTGCCTCTGTCTCCTGAGTGCTGGGATTAAAGGTGTTCCCCACCACACCTTGTATGTACTCTGTTTTTAAGTATCTCAAAGCCATGGCACGTGATTACAGAGATTAAGATTATTTAAGTATAGCATAAGCATCATCAGACATAGTGAGGATGGAGTAAGAACCCAGTGAAGAAGCAGGAGCCAGGCCATGGATGGAAGAAAGGTGATCATCAGGAGGGAGTAGGGACTATGATTGACTTTTGAAGGATAAAGATAAGTCAGATGGATATTAAGTAGGAAATGTGTTCCTTTTCATGTAAAGTGACCGAATAGTGAATGGGTAAGGAAAAATAGAGACAAGTTTATAAATGAGTACATAATGGATGCTTTTCTCAATCTGGAGTATGCAATGGCAAGTGTCTCACAAGGCTCTGTTGAAGGGACAGGTAAAGATGCAGAAGAGATACTGTGAGGTAAAAGAGAACCGAAGAATAAGTGTTAGGTGATGTGGAAAACCAAATTTAAGATTAAATTTTAACTCCTGTTCACAAGCATACACAATTTTCTCTATGCATAATAGTCTTTGCATTAACATAAAAAAGAACACATGTTTAAAAACTCGTTAGTATGTGCAGAAAGATAAATGGCATCAGAGTTGAACATATTATAAAAGTAGTTTCAAAGTAACAGTATAAATTGCCTACTTAAGTGTTCGGTAATAAGATCACTATTTTTCAGTTAGTGACGTGACTAACATCCTAGTTATACATCTTATCTGGGTCTCGACAGTATATTTTTTTTATAATGATGGCAGATTTTAATTTGATCTGGATTGACAATCTCTTGGCTATGGAAGGGAAAAATCTTGCTTCAGAGAAAGTTACTTGATAAATGGCCACAACTTTTAAATGATTTAATACTTCGTAAATGTCAGGTCTTCTGTGCAGTTTAGTAAAGAGAGTATAGAGTCATGGTGTATGAAATCAACATTTCTAGAATGTGAAAATTCTAGAAATTGTCAGTAACTTAAATTATTTTAGCTGGGAGATTCAATTAGAAAATTTGTAGAGTCTTCTGCCTCCTTGTCTATAATGAAAGTTATTTTCTTATGTTTCAAGAAAGGAAATATTCTAGAGTGTGAATAGTTATGAAATAGGTATACTGCCTAATTTTCATACCAAGGCACACTTAGGTTTTCAAACCTTAATTGTCTTTAAAAAGTTCACGTGTCAATCACCATCTGCTGCATAAGGAAACCTCTCTGGTGAGAGTTGAAAGATGCATTCATGGAGCTGGAGAGATGGCTCAGTGATTAAGAGAACTGAGTGCTCTTGCAGAGGACCCGGTTTCGATTCTAAGCCACCCACATGTCAGCTACAAACCGTCCTTAACTCCAGTTCCCGGGGAATCTGAAGCCCTCTTCTGACTTTCACAGCATTGCACAACACTGGTGCACACACATACATGCCGACAATACACTCATACACATAAAATAAAAATAATAAAAATATTTTAAAAAAGAAAGATGTGTGGTGGTGCAAGCCTGTAGTCCCAGCACTTGGGAGGCAGAGGCAGGTGGATCTCTGTGAGTTCAAGGCCAGCCTGGTCTACGTAGTGAGTTCCAGGACACCTGGGCCTACAGGGAGACCCTGCTTCAAAAAGACAAAAAAAAAAGATGCATTCATCTGATTAGAGGTTGCATTGAAAATGAGTCACTTAAGGTTAAGCATCTCACAATTATTCTGTGTCTGTTCATCCCTGAATAGAACATCTGCTTCAAACTTCTGCCTTCCAAACAAGGTTCAGGGATCATTGCAGAAGAGGAGGTAGAAAGAATCTAAGAGCCAGAGGGCAGTGGATGACCACAAGGAAACAGCTTTCCAGGCAGCTAGTCAGCTACACATATAAACTCAGCAATGGTGACAGCATTCATAAGTCCCATGCGAGCTCAAACCAGACAAAATCCCAGCATAGACATGGGGATGTGGGTAAGAAATCCCAGTCCAGCATAAGATACCTTTGGCAACTGATGGCTACTAGGAGCGGGAGAGCCAGTGTCTTCCAGGGATGGGACTCTTGGTGGGTTGACTAGGCTCTAGTGAATGGACCCACGCTGCGAGACATATGGGGACACAAATCAGACTGTACACCATAGTGTATCAATAATGAGTTCATTGACTTGGGAGGGAGGCAGTAGTGAGAGGTGTGGATGGGGAAGGGATCTAAATACCATAAAATTTTATTGTGTGAAAATCACAAAAATTTAGGAAACATTTAAAATATTACATAATGCCTTAAGTTTTCATTAATATATTTCCTGTTTGTAGCATACAAGAACTGCTGAATTTGTAGAAAACATAGAAAATGAGGACACTGAATTCCTAGACCAAAATTTTAGTATGTACTTTTAGTTTTAATTCTGTTCACTCTGTGTGAGTGTGTGTGTGAGTGTGTGTGTGTGTGTGTGTGTGTGTGTGTGTGTGTGTGTGAGTGTGTGAGAGTTGGTGGGGAAGAGGAGAAGAGCAAATGTGTACTTTTTCTGTACTTCCTTTTCGCCTCAATCACTTCCAGTAACTTCAGATTTCAAATTTATGAGTGTGTTGGTGTTATATAAGGAAATTTTGATGCTATAAGAAATGTGAATTGTTTGTTAAACAAACTTAACTCACCTTGTTTTTTTCCTCATATTAAGAAATGTAAATCTACTTTGTTTTAATGGAGCTGTTTTGGTAATGCATAAGCTGTTTTGGTTCTGTTTAGCAAGTAAATTCAGGGTTTCTATAACTTGATTTGAGCTTTACTTATATCAATAGTATAGCCATTTTAATTTATCTAAAGAAACAGTTCCTTAAAAAAAAAAAGAAAAAGAAAATACACTGCAACCTTTGCTCCCAATAAGTGAGTCTGAGAGGAAGGAGGCAAGTTCAGTGTTTTCACCCCAACATGACCACTTTTATAAACATATATTAGCTCCCATTTAGTTCTTCCAATCACATGAGAAAATGAATATACAGCAGATTTTGCTTTATTTAGATGAACTCAAGGATACTTACCCTGATTCACCAACAGTGGAAAAAACACACGAACCTGTGTAAGTATGAAAAAGTCCCATCAGATCACTTTTGTGTATTAATATGATTTGTGGATAATATTGGATTTAACAGTTTTGAAAGAAAGGCCTCCTTTGTATTACTAGAATTAGCATCTATCGTAGCATTAATCTGTTGAGGATGAGTTTGATGGTGCAATGAGGAATATTCTGTGCTTTTTCTTTCCATATCAACCAGCTGTAACTTTTTAAGTTGAGAGACTTAAATGAGTAGGATTTTAAAAATAAAAGTGTGGAAATAGTTAACTTAGTTTAAATTCACTGTAGAATGCATGAAGGGACGTAAGATGTATGTAGGTAGATTTCAGTCATATAATTTTGTCATGGTGTATGAAAATATTTCCATACTTTACTGCTAACGCATGTTCTCAATAAATATTAACTACATAAAATGTCACATAGAGTCATGCACTAATGTTGTAGAATATATTGAATAAATGAATTTTTTTCTAGATTACCTGGTGATGTAGACATCTCTGAAAATAAAACACACTCCAAATGGTCATGTTGGACACCTGTAACAACTATTAAGATATGTACTAGCCCAAGAATGTGTAATTTACCAGGAGACACATTTAACAAAGGTGAAGTTTTATCTGTTATTCCATAGCAGTTCATGGAAATACTAACTCAAATACCTAGCAAGTGTTTTGGGTTACAACAGAATTTAGATATTACCAGTATATTTATTCTAGAATTAATTCTCATTTTTCCATTAGATGTCGTTGTTAACAAAAAACGTGCTAAAAGATCAGCATCTGATGAAGATCCTGAAGAAACACAGAAGGCGAAGTCTGGGAATGAAATAGTCAGGCATAACAAAATAAATGAAAGAGAAGTTCTTTGCCAAGGAAACAATCAAGAACATCATCCTAAAAATGCACAGGAGAAAAATACCGAAAGCACAAGGAACGATTGGCATATTGAATCCGAAACTACTTTTAAATCAGTACTCCTAAATACGACAACTGAGGAGTCTCTCATCTATAAGAAGAAATGCATATTGTCGAAAGATGTGAATACTACTATTTGTGATAAAAGCCCTTCTAGAAAAAATATGAAAAGTCATATGAAGTCAGGGAGAGAATTGACTTCTGAACTCAATTCCTATGAGTTGGAACAAAAAGCAATGGTAAATTTTCACCATGTTGATTTCTCTATACTCATAAGATACCTACATGGAAAAGCAGCTTGATTGATTGCTACAAACTCGATATGTATAAATGTCTTTTCATCCAATTCCTAGATGCTGAAAATTCTTCTTTGAACTCCTCATTCATCCCCTAACATGGTCCTTGTAGAACAGTGCTTGGCATAAGCAGGCATATAAATACATAGAGAATTAATTATCCTTACTGTTCATTTTTTTATATTTCTCTCATTCTGTCCTTTTCAACATGCATGTTGAACTCCTCACATAGCTCTTATGTTTCTTTTCTGTAAATGACTGGGGTGTATGAGTATGTGCTTTCTTTTGATGTTGGTTTTAACTTTGTGGAGAAGAGAGATGAAGATTGTTACAGAACTTTCCAATTTGAGATTTTTTTCAAAGTATAGAAACTCTATTGAACATCTGTTGTGGTTTGTGATTTGTGTATACTGTGTGTCCTACAAAGACTCATGTGTTGAAGGCTTGGTCCCACCTAGTGGATCAAACCTTTGAGAAATGTTTAGCTCTTTTAGAAATTAGTTCATGGCTAGATGGGCTGCTGGATGAGCTTGGTCAGAGGCAGTCAGTAGGATCTTGTTAGTGAAGGGCAGTGTCACCCAGGCCTCTTCCTTCTCTCTGCTTTATGTTGCCATGAGGCAGACAGACTTCTCTGCCACATGATACTCACCATGATCTTCAGCCTATCCTCATGCCTGAGGTGACAAGGCCAAGGGACGATGGACTGAAGCCTCTGAAACTGTGATGAAAAGAATAAGTCTTTTGTCCCTTTAAATTCTCTCAGATGTTTATCAGTGTCAAAAATCAAAACACCTTTTCTAAGATGTGGTCTGATTTTTAAAAATACCTACCCCTGCCCCAGTAGTGTCATTCCTCTATTGTAGAACAATTCCCTCTATTGTTCTACAGTGTTTTCTGCCATTTCTGTGGAACACTCTCCTATAGAGCACTCATCTGTCATTGTCTTAACTCTTAGATCAGCACAGAACAGCAGCACCTATGCCATTCAGTGATTCAGACTTCTCAAACTATCTCCTATTCTGGAAGACCTGAAGTCATAACACTATTTTAGAGGAGGCTCATTTTGTTAACATTTTTATCACCATGAAATTCTCAAGAAGGGACTGTAAGCGATAACTTAATACCAGTAGTTACAAAAACATGGACATCAAAATGACTAAAATATCAATTTTTATTGCAGTTTTTAAAGTACATGTGCTTGACCCCCCAAAAAAAAGTAAATATAAAATCAAGAGACTGTATATCTTTAAGGATTGTTAGAATTTTTAAAAGTGAATTACCTAAAATTATACTGGTAATAATTCTTACTTTGCAGTGCTTTCAATTTGCAGGGGTTTAAAACTTTTTTTTTTTAAGAACAGTTTCATGTTTACAAAAGTTGAGTAGCTAGTACAGAGACTGCTCATGTACTCTGGTTTCCATTTCCCTATTAACAACTTTTGTGGTATACTTTCTAGAAATGAAGCTCTATGATTATTAGCTCATGTCTATGGTTTATAGTAAGGTTTGTGTTACATTTTTGTTATATATTTTGTGTGCTTTCACAAATATTGGTGACATACCACCATTAAGATTCAATTCAGATGGCCAGAACTTAAAACCCTGGTGTGCCTTGGCACAGTGTCAAGTTCTGGGGGAGCAACCAAGAGCAATGGCAATAGCGTGTATTATTTGGGGGTTTCTGGGACACTTCTAACCAATAGCACGAGGAGAGATATCTCATACCTGTCACTGGGCTTTTTTTTTTTAATTATTCATTCAAGCATTTCATCCATTGTATTTTGACCACATTCAGGCCCCCTCCTCTTGCATTAGGCTTTTCATTTGGCAACCTATGGCTTCTGGGATGAGCATAATCCCTGAATAGGGTAACCTCCAGTTCAACTGTTTTATGTGAAAATATATGTACTGGAGATAGTAGGTTTACACATGAGTATTCCAGAGAATTTTTATCATTAATGGTGGTGGGTTTTATTAGATGCTTCTTATACATTTATTGATAAAACTTTATTGACATGATAAATTACACAAATTGGTTTTTAAGTGTTGAATCATACCCCTGGTGCATAATTCTTTTATACATTGTTGGGTTTGAGTTATTGATACTTATTAAATTTTTGCATCTGTACTCATGAGAGCTGCTGGCCAAAAGTTTTCTTTTGTAATATTTGAGGATTGGACCTCCTAGGATATATTAGGAAGTATACCCTTTTATGTCTCCTAGAAGAATATAAAGAATTTGAAAGAATTTTTTCCTTAAATGAATTCACCAGTAAACCCAGCTTGGTCTGGTGCTTTTGTTTTAGGAGGTTAATCATTGATTTGATTAATAAATAGAGGCATTTTTGGGTAATCTGTTTCTTATCCTGAATTTTTGAAAATTGTCTCCAGGAAATTAACACATGTCCTCTTTGCTGTGAAAGTTGCAGACATAGAACTTATAAATTATAAAGTCCCTTAATTATTACTTCTCTGTGCCTGTGATTCAGAATGAAAGCCTCTTTCATTACAGGTAATAATAATTTAGATTTTTTTTTGTTTTATTCTTTAGGTAACCAGGCTAGAGCTGTGCCAAGCTTATTGGTCTTTTCAAAGAACTGGCACTTTTCCCGGAAGTATTTTTTTCTTATGAGTAACTAAAAAATGCAAAGCATTCATCATGGTTCCATATGTTAAAAGACTTATCCTGAGTGGTTTTGACTGCTTTATGAAGCCCAAAGTTACTAATTTATGACCTCCTATTTCTTTTTGTAGGTCTCAATAGAACCATATTTCTTAATCTTTCTTTTAGCCTTTATTTTCTTTTGAAAACTAACTAGTGGAGTTTTAAAGTAACTTATAAATTGTTTCAGAAAGAAAAGTCAAAAGGGAAAGGATTTACTGGTGCAGCAGAATCCTTGATAAGCCAAATAAATAAGAGACACAGCTTAAGTGACAACACAGAGTCTGCAAGACAGTTAAAGGAGTCTTCGAATGGCAGGTATATTAATACATTTAAGACATGAAGAGTTTTTGACAGGTAAAACTAAACGGTATACACATTTTGAAAAAAAATGTTTTGGGCATACATTTAAATAATGTAACTTTCCATAAGAAAATACTAATTACTATTATGAATAGTAGCTATTTAAATTATATGTAATTTGGCATTTTAGTACCTGGTTATACCTTATAAAATGTCAAAAAAAAATACCGAACAATACAGTATTGCCATTTGAGAGTGAAATCTTTAGGATAGAAACATCTTGGAATTTTATTTATAGAGCCTGGTAATAGTAAAGTTAAATCTATTAAAATATATTGCTTGATAAAAAGTTTCAATGAGCTGAAATAATGTATTAAATAATGGGTTTCTTGTTTGCAATCTTTATGAAAATTAATTATTACAAATGTCCATTTATCAGCTGTCAGATTTTTCATTTAAGTTTAAATTGACTCTGGCCTTACGCTGTAAAAAATACTTCCATGCAGAACTATACCTTTTAAATTGTTTGACACATCCTGCTACATTAATGATTCAATTTAGAATCAACTATTTTAATTACTATTTTTTATAAGTAAAAGTTGCAAAACTATCAGACTGAGTTGAGATTTCATATTAGGTACATGTTGGTGCTCGTTTTATGGCATACCAAATTTAATGATTCAAATGTGTTTTACACCATTTTTGGTTTTATAAAAATATTTTACTGATACTAAGTTTCTTTTTAAATATTGTCAACATTTTTTTATAGTATATTTGCAAACAGATTTGACCAACAGCTCAGTAAGGTAGGTGCTGTTTAACTTCACCAAACTTATAGGCAAACTTGATATTTGACTTTAAATATTAAAATGGTAGTTTAAAAATGAAATCGGATTCAAGGTCATAGAATACTACCAAAAGAATTATAACAACAGATAAATTTCGTGACAAGTACCCGAAATAGCACTTTTCAGTGAAAATGCTGCTTTTCTGCCAGGCCTCATGGAACACTCCTGATACTGGGGAAGCTGAGGCAGGAAGATTGAAAGTTCATGGCCTACCTGGGCACCTTAGTGAGATCCTATCTCAAAATTAAGACGGCTGAGGCTATAAATAGAACACTGACTGGAAAGAACCCGAGTCAGCAGGCTCTCACTTTTTATTGTCCCTTGGAAGCAAAGTTTTAGAGTGTGTCCTCTTTGTGAAAACTTAAGATGCTTTGATTGAAGAAAAAGCTCAATCGGCAAGAATCCTGTGTCTGTACAATAGCTTCTGCTAAAAACAGTTATTAACTGTTGTAGGCTTTTTGCCTCCTCGGCAGTCTTTGTCTGGAGTGTAACTGTTTTGAATAGTTTCGTATCTTTGTTAATACTTTGGTCCACCTCAGATCCCCAAGTGTTTTGCTCATACTTGAATTTCCTTTTAAACATATCTACTCATTCTTAAATACTCTTTAGCACAAATAAACATGTATGTGAACACTGGTAAAATCACATCGAGAACTGTGTGTGGTGGTGTATCCCTGCAATTCTAGCAGTGTGGAAGCTGAGTGACACAGGAAGATGTTAAAATTGAGAACAGCCTGACTGAGAAACACTACAACAAAATATTATATTGAGAGGATGTGTCAGATAAATGATCAAAAAAATACTAAGTTAAGTGGTAAACATGTTGGAGTAATGCAGCTAAGTCTATATCAAATAATCAAAAGTATTAAGTTTAAGAAGTCTTGCAAAATTAATGTTTCTTATGGATAGTAAATAAGACTTCTGATTATTTCTGATCAGTAACAATTATTTAGTGATAATTTATGTATCTAAGCATAGTTTCATTTCCTTAACAAAATGTGTACAATTATTATTCCCTTATTGTTTTACTTAGATTCATTTCTACCCTCATTACTTTATGATCTCATTAAGTATATTTTGAGTTATAGGTTATATGAATACTATTAACAAAACTAGCTGATACTTACCTTTTTGACTTTTATATAAGATTTTGCATAAACTTAAGAAAACTTTGAGGTTAAAGTTTAAGAGTTAAAAGAAAATGAGAGTCTGAAACAATGACTTACCCACAACAGATGATAATCTATATGTTTAAATATTTTTTTGTTAACATCTTTTGTATTTTGGAAAAGGTTCAGAAAAAAAGTTACAGAAAACTGCAGACTACTTTTGCTAATGTTACTTCTGGATGTCCATTGTGAGTAAATTTTCATAAATCTTTCAATTTTCTTCATACTTGAAGAGACTAAATTATTACATAATGAAACTAATATTTGCCTTCATTTTCACAGGAATGATGTTTACAATTTCAGTTTGAATGGCACTGATGAACCGGTTATAAAACTTGGAGTAAGCTAGAAATAATTTTATATTTAGTTATTTAGTAGTTACCTTGAATTTTATATGTAATTACGAGTACATGTTTTAGATGTGTATCTTCATATACATATACTTTAAATTTTTTAACTATATAATAATTTATTTGGATAACCAGTTTAGGTATATCTACGTTTTGTTTTTCCGAGTCTTTTGAAATGAGGTAGGAGAAAAAAAATGAGGAACGGGTTTGGAAGAATGTAGACTTGTTTTTTTGAAGAAAATCACTTTCCTTACTATGTGATACATTTAAAACACACTTTTGTTTAGCTGTCAGTGTATTTTACTGTATTGTCAGTGTATTTTACTGTATTAGGGTAAACTTAATTTTATTAATCTCTATGAAGTGAAAGAAACTAGACTTTATTTGTTCATTTATTTTTTTTTTATTTTGACATGTCTTTTTTTTCTTCCCGTTTATTTCCCATATAGATCCAAGAATTTCAAGCTACAACTAGAGAAACCAGCATGGATAACTCAATAAAACTGTAGGTTTTAAAAGTTATAGTTATTTTGGTTTAAATAATACTTCCTACCCCAGTCTATCTTTCTGAGAGTTTTTAACCTATGAGAGGAATGAATTGAAATTCTGCTGTCATGGGGCCAGAGAGATGGCTGAGGGGGGTAAACAGTACTTGTTTGTCTTGCAGAGGACCTCAGGTTCAGTTCCCAGAACCCAGATGGTGGTTCACAACTATACATAACTCCAGTTCCAGGGGATCTGGCACCCTTTTCTGGCCTTTGGGGGCATTGCACTCAAGCGTGCACTTACATACATGCAAACAAAAAATACTCGTACATATAAAATAAAAATAAATCCAAAAAAGGTTTCTACTGTTAGAATTACTCTAGCTGTGACTATTACCTCAGCATTTTGAAATCCAATATGCTCAATTTGAATATTAGTCATCTTAGTCACATACTTGATCATGAAGCTGAAAAACGTCAGTCCTTCATTCAGCATCATCTTAAAAAAACCCTAAAGTCAGAGGGGAGAAAATAATCCGGTTATAATTATGTAGCTAATGATACATTTAGTGATAGAGTTAAATCTGAAAACATAGAATTGTCCAGTGTATCCTATCTTAAGAAAACAAATGTGGGGCCGAAGAGATAGCTCAGTGGTTACAACCACTGGCTCCTCTTGCAGAAGACCCAGGTTCAAATCTCAGCACCACTATGAAGGCTAGCAGTCATCCTTAACTAGTTCCAGGAGACCCAGCGCCTTTTTCTGGCTTCCATGGGCGTTGCACAACGTAGCTGCACTTACATACATGCAGGCATAAAATTCATACACCTAAAAATAAAAACTAAAAAACCCCAATGTGATAGATATTTGAAATTAATTCATATATTTCTTTTTCAAGGGTAGGTTTAAGGAGTCATGATGAACACAAACTGTCTCTCAAAAGAAAAGATAAAAGAGTAAGTTGCAGTACCCTATGCTTATTAAAAACAGTATTTCTTGGACTGGAGAGATGTTTCAGTGGTTAAGAGCATTTGCTGCTTTTCCAGAGAACCTGAGTTCAGTTCTACATCACAGGCACCTTAAACAACCACCTGTACCTCAAGTTCCAGGGGCTCTGAGGCTTTCTTCTGGCTGCTGTAGACACCCAAATGCCTGTAGTACATATACATAGACAAGACATACTCAGAAATAAAACAAAAATCTTTTTTAAACCAGTACTTCTTTTAATAACTTTTTAATACTAAAAATTATGTAAGAGCTAGAATTATGAATATATGCTGATGTTTAGAAATAACATTCAGATGTGAAATTTTGTTTCTGCATTTCAGTTCATAAATTGTTTATTTTATCAGAAGTAGATTAAGTGCAACAAGCGGCGCAAGTACATAGGATAATAAAACTTTGATCTTAAATCCAAGGAACTTGGCTAATTCTGGGACTTTAAAACAGAAACAACCATATATCAAATTGTCATAGGATAAGGATCTTCAAAAGAAACTATATATTACTTCAGAGGATTAAAAAATAAGCTGAAAAGCAGAAAGATTATAGAGAAAAAAGCAACTCCTTCCTGTGTAGTACTGTTGAAATTTGAACATGGTATGAGTTGTTGAAGGCTTGTTTGAGTTGGAGAGACTGGAACTAAATGGTGCGACATTATTTGCTCCATCTGGTTTAAATTTTCCATTCCACTATCAGCAAAGTTGTCACTGAATTTTGAGAAATCATCTGAAATTTTCATAGACCTCAAATCTTCATCCTGTGAATTGTTGATAACAACTCTTTAGGTGGCTTTGAGTCTGGTGCTGGACGTCCTAATGAAGGTGATTTGGGGAGGGGAACAATGAGTTTCGGAATACCCATAGCAGCGGTGGTGTGAGATAGAAATGGAGTGGAGTATCATGGGGGACACTCACATTCTTGTACCTAAAAAACCTGATTAACTGGGAAGAAGTAAAATAGAAGGTTAAAAAGATTGAGTAGACAACAGGAGATGGAAGGATCTCCCATGCTCATGGATTGGAAGAATTAATATTGTGAAAATGACCATCCTACCAAAAGCACTATATAGATTCAATGCAATCCCAAACAAAATCCCCATGGCATACTTCACAGAATTAGAAAAAAAATCCTTAAATTCGTATGGAAGCACAAAAGACCCTGAATAGTCAAAGCAACCCTGAGCACGAAGATCAAAGCTAGGGGATTACTATACCAGATCTCAAAGTGTACTACAAAGCAAGAGTCATAAAAACAGCATGGTACTGGCACAAACACAGACACACAGATCAACGGAACATCATTGAAGACCCAAACCCAAGTACACATTCTTGTACCTAAAAAACCTGATTAACTGGGAAGAAGTAAAATAGAAGGTGGCTTGAAGGCTGAGCATTTTCCATCTTTGAATTCTGAAGATGAGTGACAAACAAATCAAAATATATCTTCAGCTGCCGATACATGGGAATATTTCCAAATCCTAAATCTAGAGAACCATTAAGAAATGTAGTACAAAGCCCAAAGCTGAGCATGGTGGTGCACACCTTTAACCCACCCACTTGGGAGGCTGAGGCAGGAAGATCGCTGTGAGATAGAAGCCAGGCTGGACTACATATCAAGTTCCAGGCCAGCTGGGACTATAGGGGGACCCTCTTTCAAAAAATATATAGGTGTCCTAATAAGGGGTAAGCACTCTGTGGCCTCTTATTCTCTATACATTGGTCAGTTGTGGATTTCTGTGTTAATCATCATCTCCTATATAAGGAAGGAAACTTCTCTGTTGAGAGTTGAGAGATGCATTGATCCTTTTTGTAGAGGTTGCATTGAAGATGTATCTCCTTTGGTTAATCATCTCAAAGACACTTATTCTCTCTGACCAGTTTTGAAAGTCGGTAATACTCATCTGTTTCAAAACGAAGCTTCTTTGATGAGGGGGTAGAAAGTACACTTGTCTGTAAATATGAGGGTGCGTATTTCGAATAAAGAACTTACCTTGGTCTAGGGATGTGTCAAAAGTAGGTTTTTTCTTTTTTCTGGGATCTGTGACATCTCCAGTCTCTGCCCCCCAAGGCTCAGGAATCATTACAGAAGAGGAGGTGGGAAGATTGTTAGAACCAGAGGGGATGGATGACCACAATGAAACAGTCTTCCAGATAGCTATATTAGTTACTCACAGCAATGGTGACAGAATGCACAAGTCCAATGCAAGTTCAAATTAGACAAATCCCAGCATGGACATAGGAAAATAGGTAAGAATCCCAACCTAAGGAACTTTTGGTAATTGATGGCTGCCGAGAGGGGGAAAGACAATGTCTTACAGGGTTGGAACTCTTGGTGGGCCCAGTGGATGGATCCACACTGAAGTACATGGGGGGCATAAATCAGACTCTATAGACCATATTGTGTGTATAGTAGAATACATTAGTTTGGGTGAGGGTGCGCATGCGGAATCTAAATACTACAAAGTATATTGTATGAAAATGGCAAAAATTCAATAAAGAATTAGATTTTTAAAAAGTTTATAGTATCTGAATTCTCAGTAGCAAGAAAACTCCAGTCATAGCCAGTTAAGTATGTATCTACCTACAATGAAATTTTTAAATTGTTAAAGAGATGAGGAAGACAGCAGGAGATAGGACCTCCCATGCTCATGGATTGAAAGAATTAATATTGTGAAAATGACCATCCTACCAAAAGCCATTTATAGATTCAATGCAATGCCAATCAAAATCCCCATGAT